CGGTATAAAATGTGAAGCAATGTTATTCGAATCCTGGACCGCCCAGCACAATCGTAATTGCTACAATCCTAGATACCATGGTACGAGATTCCAGCTCTTTTTTCCTTCAAACGGGCCCGCCGCATGAAAAACCGTCCCCATATAAGGGCGTTTGTGAGCCCGGGAAGCTGCGAAATCCGTACCGGTATAAAATGTGCAGCAATGTTATTCGAATCCTGGACCGCCCAGCACGATCGTGTTTGCCACAATCCTAGCTACCTTGGGGCGAGATTCCAGCTCTTTTTGCCTTCAAACGGGCCCGCTGCATGAAAACCCATCCCCATATAAGGGCGTTTGTGAGCCCAGGCAGCTGCGAAAATCGTACTGGTATAAAATGTGAAGCAATGTTACTCGGAACCTGGACCACCCAGCACGATCGTGTTTGCCACAATCCTAGATACCTTGGGACGAGATTCCAGGCCTTTTTGCCTTCAAACGGGCCCGCCACAATAAAAACCGTCCCCATATAAGGGCGTTTGTGAGCCCGGAAAGCTGTGAAATCCGTACCAGTATAAAATGTGAAGCAATGTTACTCGGATCCTAGACCGCCCAGCACGATCGTTTTTTCCACAATCCTAGATACCTTGGGACGAGATTCCAGCTCTTTTGGCCTTCAAACGGGCCCGCCGCATGAAAAACCGTCCCCATATAAGGGCGTTTGTGAGCCCGGGAAGCTGCGAAATCCGTACCAGTATAAAATGTGAAGCAATGTTATTCGAATCCTGGACCGCCTAGCACGATCGTGTTTGCCACAATCCTAGCTACCTTGGGATAAGATTCCAGCTCTTTTGGCCTTCAAACGGGCCCGCCTCATGAAAAACCGTCCCCATAGAAGGACGTTTGTGAGCCCGGGAAGCTGTGAAATCCATACCGGTTTAAAATGTGAAGCAATGTTACTCGGATCCTGGACCGCCCAGCACGATCGTGTTTGCCACAATCCTAGATACCTAGGGACGAGATTCCAGCTCTTTTGGCCTTCAAACGGGCCCGCCGCATGAAAAACCGTCCCCATATAAGGGCGTTTGTGAGCCCGGGAAGCTGCGAAATCCGTACCAGTATAAAATGTGAAGCAATGTTACTCGAATCCTAGACCGCCCAGCACGATTGTGTTTGCCACAATCCTAGCTACCTTGGGGCGAGATTCCAGCTCTTTTTGCCTTCAAACGTGCCTGCCGCATGAAAAACCATCCCCATATAAGGGCGTTTGTGAGCCCGGGCAGCTGCGAAATCCGTACCGGTATAAAATGTGAAGCAATGTTATTAGAATCCTGGACCGCCCAGCACGATCGTGTTTGCCACAATCCTAGCTACCTTGGGACGAGATTCCAGCTCTTTTGGCCTTCAAACGGGCCCGCCGCATGAAAAACCGTCCCCATATAAGGGTGTTTGTGAGCCCGGGAAGTTGTGAAATCCGTGCCAGTATAAAATGTGAAGCAATGTTACTCCGATCCTGGACCGCCCAGCACGATCGTGTTTGCCACAATCCTAGCTACCTTGGGGCGAGATTCCAGCTCTTTTTGCCTTCAAACGGGCCCGCCGCATGAAAAACCATCCCCATATAAGGGCGTTTGTGAGCCCAGGCAGCTGCGAAATTCGTACTGGTATAAAATGTGAAGCAATGTTACTCGGAACCTGGACCGCCCAGCACGATTGTGTTTTCCTGAATCCTAGATACCTTGCGACGAGATTCCAGGTCTTTTTGCCTTTAAACGGGCCCGCCACATGAAAAACCGTCCCCATATAAGGGCGTTTGTGAGCCCGGAAAGCTGTGAAATCCGTACCAGTATAAAATGTGAAGCAATGTTACTCGGATCCTGGACCGCCCAGCACGATCGTGTTTGCCACAATCCTAGATACCTTGGGACGAGATTCCAGGTCTTTTTGCCTTCAAACGGGCCCGCCACATTAAAAACCGTCCCCATATAAGGGCGTTTGTGAGCCCAGGAAGCTGCGAAATCCGTACCGGTATAAAATGTGAAGCAATGTTATTCGAATCCTGGACCGCCCAGCACAATCGTGTTTGCTACAATCCTAGATACCATTGTACGAGATTCCAGCTCTTTTTTCCTTCAAACGGGCCCGCCGCATGAAAAACCGTCCCCATGTAAGGGCGTTTGTGAGCCCGGGAAGCTGCGAAATCTGTACCAGTATAAAATGTGAAGCAATGTTATTCGAATCCTAGACCGCCCAGCACGATCGTGTTTGCCACAATCCTAGATACCTTGGGACGAGATTGCAGGTTTTTTTTGCCTTCAAACGGGCCCACCACATGAAAAACCGTCCCCATATAAGGGCGTTTGTGAGCCCGGAAAGCTGTGAAATCCGTACCAGTATAAAATGTGAAGCAATGTTACTCCGATCCTGGACCGCCCATCACGATCGTTTTTTCCACAATCCTAGATACCTTGGGACGAGATTCCAGGTCTTTTTGCCTTCAAACGGGCCCGCCACATGAAAAACCGTCCCCATATAAGGGCGTTTGTGAGCCCAGGAAGCTGCGAAATCCGTAACGGTATAAAATGTGAAGCAATGTTATTCGAATCCTGGACCGCCCAGCACGATCGTGTTTTCTAGAATCCTAGATACCTTGGTACGAGATTCCAGCTCTTTTTTCCTTCAAACGGGCCCGCCGCATAAAAAACCGTCCCCATATAAGGGCGCTTGTGAGCCCGTGAAGCTGCGAAATCCGTACCGGTATAAAATGTGAAGCAATGTTATTCGAATCCTGGACCGCCTAGCACGATCGTGTTTGCCACAATCCTAGCTACCTTGGGACGAGATTCCAGCTCTTTTGGCCTTCAAACGGGCCCGCCGCATGAAAAACCGTCCCCATATAAGGGCGTTTGTGAGCCCGGGAAGCTGCGAAATCCGTACCGGTATAAAATGTGAAGCAATGTTATTCGAATCCTAGACCGCCTAGCACGATCGTGTTTGCCACAATCCTAGCTACCTTGGGACGAGATTCCAGCTCTTTTTGCCTTCAAACGGGCCTGCCGCATGAAAAACCGTCCCCATATAAGGGCGTTTGTGAGCCCGGGAAGCTGCGAAATCCGTACCGGTATAAAATGTGAAGCAATGTTATTAGAATCCTGGACCGCCCAGCACGATCGTGTTTGCCACAATCCTAGCTACCTTGGGACGAGATTCCAGCTCTTTTGGCCTTCAAACGGGCCCGCCGTATGAAAAACCGTCCCCATATAAGGGCGTTTGTGAGCCCGGGAAGTTGTGAAATCCATGCCAGTATAAAATGTGAAGCAATGTTACTCCGATCCTGGACCGCCCAGCACGATCGTGTTTGCCACAATCCTAGCTACCTTGGGGCGAGATTCCAGCTCTTTTTGCCTTCAAACGGGCCTGTCGCATGAAAAACCATCCCCATATAAGGGCGTTTGTGAGCCCGGGCAGCTGCGAAATTCGTACTGGTATAAAATGTGAAGCAATGTTACTCGGAACCTGGACCGCCCAGCACGATTGTGTTTGCCACAATCCTAGATACCTTGGGACGAGATTCCAGCTCTTTTTGCCTTCAAACGGGCCCGCCGCATGAAAAACCGTCCCCATATAAGGGCGTTTGTGAGCCCGGGAAGCTGCGAAATCCGTACCGGTATAAAATTTGAAGCAATGTTATTCGAATCCTGGACCGCCCAGCACGATCGTGTTTGCCACAATCCTAGCTACCTTGGGGCGAGATTCCAGCTCTTTTTGCCTTCAAACGGGCCCGCCGCATGAAAACCCATCCCCATATAAGGGCGTTTGTGAGCCCGGGCAGCTGCGAAAAACGTACCGGTATAAAATGTGAAGCAATGTTACTCGGAACCTGGACCACCCAGCACGATCGTGTTTGCCACAATCCTAGATACCTTGGGACGAGATTCTAGGCCTTTTTGCCTTCAAACGGGCCCGCCACATGAAAAACCGTCCCCATATAAGGGCGTTTGTGAGCCCGGAAAGCTGTGAAATCCGTACCAGTATAAAATGTGAAGCAATGTTACTCGGATCCTGGACCGCCCAGCACGATCGTGTTCGCCACAATCCTAGATACCTTGGGACGAGATTCCAGGTCTTTTTGCCTTCAGACGGGCCCGCCACATGAAAAACCGTCCCCATATAAGGGCGTTTGTGAGCCCAGGAAGCTGCGAAATCCGTAACGGTATAAAATGTGAAGCAATGTTATTCGAATCCTGGACCGCCCAGCACAATCGTGTTTGCTACAATCCTAGATACCATGGTACGAGATTCCAGCTCTTTTTTCCTTCAAACGGGCCCGCCGCATGAAAAACCGTCCCCATATAAGGGCGTTTGTGAGCCCGGGAAGCTGCGAAATCTGTACCAGTATAAAATGTGAAGCAATGTTATTCGAATCCTGGACCGCCCTGTCAGATTATCATAGCTGATGCATGTTTGTAGGCTATAGTGGGGTAGCACATATGGGGTACAGTTTTCTAGGGTTGTATTTGTACCCAACTCTGACTTAGTCATTCCCATTCCTGCTTACACATTTCACATGGTATAGAGCGGGTTCCCTGTGGAACTCTGCCTAGGGCCCACCGAAGCGCGCCCCGAGGCGCGCTCAACCTTTTTTTTTCCCGCTATCGAGCGACCCTCCGTGTCGCCTCCCTCCCGCTAAGTCGCGGCCCCAGCCGCCCGCTACGATCGCGGCTCCAGCCGCCTGCTCGACGCGGCCCCCAGCCGCCTGCTCGACGCGGCCCCAGCCGCCTGCTCGACGCGGCCCCCAGCCGCCTGCTCGACGCGGCCCCCAGCCGCCTGCTCGACGCGGCCCTGCCGCCCGCTACGCCGCGGCCCCGGCCGCCTGCTACGACCGCGGCCCCCAGCCGCCTGTTCGACCGCGGCCCCGCCGCCCGCTCCTGTCGCGGCCCCCCCCCCCAGCCGCCTGCTCGACGCGGCCCCCAGCCGCCTGCTTGACGCGGCCCTGCCGCCCGCTACGCCGCGGCCGCCGCCTGCTACGACCGCGGCCCCGGCCGCCTGCTACGACCGCGGCCCCAGCCGCCTGTTCGACCGCGGCCCCGCCGCCCGCTCCTATCGCGGCCCCGGCTGCCTGCTCGCACGGCCTCGCCGCCAGCTACTACCGCGGCCCCGGCCGCCTGCTCGACCGCGGCCCCCCCCCCCCCCCTACTACCGGGAGCCGAGCCGCCCTGCAGCCGAGCCGCCCGGGAGCCGAGCCGCCCTGCACCCGAGCCGCCCTGTCGCCGAGCCGCCTGAGCCGCCCTGTCGCCGAGCCGCTTGGGAGCCGAGTCGCCCTGCCCCCGAGCTGCCCTGCCGCCGAGCCGCCCCGGAGCCGAGCCGCCCTGCGCCCGAGCCGCCCAGCACCCAACCGCCAGGTCGCTGAGCCGCCTTTCTGCATCCCTACTCGACCTGCCCTGCCTGGTGAGCACAGTCCCACTGCCACTGCGAGCTCTTTCCCTACTGCTTGCACTGCGTCGCTGTTGTCGCCATGGCTACCCCTAGTGTCCTAGCTTTTGACGCTGAGGGTCGCGCCATTGATTTTGAGGTCTGGTTAGACGACCTGCAGCTGTACTTACAGTGCGACAGGGCTGACGACCTTTCTCTCTTTGACCTCACCTCTGGCGCCTCTCCTGCTCCTGCTGCTGATGCTGATCCCGCTGTCCGCTCTAAGTGGGCCACCCGCGATGCTGCTGCACGTCTTGCTGTGCGTCGCCACCTCCCTACCTCTGAGCGTGCGCACTTTAGTCAGTACAAGAGTGCTCAGACCTTGTACGCCGCTGTAGTTGCGCGCTACTCCTCCCCTGCCACTGCTGCACTGAGCCGTCTCATGCTTCCCTACCTCTTTCCTGACCTCTCTGCCTTTCCCACTGTCGCTGACCTCATTACGCACCTCCGCACTAGTGACACTCGCTACCGCGCCGCCCTTCCTGCTGAGTTCTGCGCTAAGAACCCCCCCCCCATGTACATCGCTCTCTACTACGTAGTCGCGCAACCCCCCTGACTCCCTTCGCGTAGTCAGGGACCACTTTCTCGCAGTCTGTCCCACCACCCTCACCGTCGACCTCCTCGAGAAGTCCCTCCTTGCAGCGGAGAAGAGCATAGTCGCTGTAGGTGCTTCTCGTGGTGACCCTCGCACCCCCATCTTTGAGGGGTGCTCTCCTTCCCCCTTGCTGCCCTCTGTTGCCTCTGCTGCTGCTGCCGACCTGCTTGGTCTTGAGTCGGTCGGCGCGGCGTCTGCCCCTAGTGGGAGACGTCGCTCCAGCAAGGGCAAGGGGGGCAAGGGCGCGGGTGGAGCTGGAGGGGGCGGTGGCGGTGGCGGCGGTGGCGGCGGAGGGAGTGGGGGTGGCGGCGGGTCTAGTGGCGGGGGTGGTGGTGGTGGTGGTGGCAGCAGCGGCGGAGACGGTGGTGGTGGTGCCAGCGGTGGTGGTGGAGGCAGCGGCGGAGGTGGAGGCGGCGGAGGTGGAGGCGGTGGAGGCGGCAGCGGAGGAGGCAGTGGTGGTGGAGGAGGTGGAGCTGGTCGGGGTGGTACCCAGCAGCGTAGCGGCGGTGGTGGTGGCCAGCGCTCGCACCGGCAGCAGCAGCAGCGCTCGCGGGACATCCCTTTGCCTCAGCAGCTTCGTGAGTGGTACGCTGGGCGTCAGAGGGGTGGGGGTACTGGTCCCTGCACCTACGTTCTTCGTTCCGGCGACCGCGCGGGTGAGCAGTGTGGGGGTGCCCACGCCACCCAGCGCTGCTTTGGCCGCCTGACGGACGCCTGGCGTCAGCAGTTCCCTGGGGCTAGTGAGATCCCTCGCTGGGATGAGCTTCTCAGGGCTGGTGTAGCGATCTTTGATCTTGATTTTGATGCTATCCTTACTGCTATGTATGTTGTGGATTATAGTGAGGAGAATGAGGGTTACCGTTGTTTCCGGCCCGACCCGGGCATTGGTACTGCTGCGCTAGGTGCTTGTGAGGCTGCTGCTCTAGGTGCCAGTGCGTCTGCGCTCTCAGGTACTGGTGAGACTGCGCTCTCAGGTACTGCGTCGTCCTCGTCCTCCCTCACTTTCACACTTGACTCCGGAGCTTCTCGCTCCTTCTTTCGCGACCGCACTACCCTTACGCCGCTCGGCCGGCCGGTTGCAGTCTCCCTTGCTGACCCCTCTGGAGGTCCTGTCCTGTCTCACTTCTCCACTGTCCTCCCGTGTCCGGCTGCCCCTTCGGGCACCCTGTCGGGTCTGTACCTTCCCTCGTTCTCCACGAACTTGGTGAGTGGAGCGGACCTGCAGGATGGGGGTGTTCACCAGTTCACTCCTGCGAGTCAGCGGGTGACCCACTGCACGGAGGCACGCACAGGCCGACACCTGGCCACGTTCTCGCGTCGGCCGGGGTCGAGTCTCTACACCCTGACCGTTGAGTCTCCTCCTGTCCCTGCGTCTGGTCAGGTGGCTGCGTCGGGTCAGGTACTTGCTGCTGCGTCCCGGTCAGGTCCTGAGTCTGCCCCCTGTTCTTGTCGCCTCCTGTCTCACGAGACTCTCCTGTGGCACCACCGTCTTGGCCACCCCTCCTTACCCCGTCTTCGGAGCATGGCTTCCCGTGTCCTTGTCTCTGGTCTTCCCCAGTCTCTCCCTCCTCTCCCCTCCGGGCCAGGACCTTCCTGTGTCCCCTGTGTCGAGGGTCGCCTCCGGGCTACTCCTCACTCCTCCCACTTCCCCCCGACAGAGGCTCCCTTGCAGACGCTTCACATGGATGTGTGGGGCCCAGCCCCCGTCCGTGGGCAGGGTTACGAGCGCTACTTCCTGTTGGTGGTTGACGACTACTCGCGTTACACCACAGTCCTCCCCTTGCGCAGCAAGGGTGCGGTCACTGAGGTGCTGATCGACTGGATCCGCGAGGCTCGTCTCCAGCTCAGGCAGAGCTTCGGCTCGGACTTTCCTGTTCTGCGTCTGCACTCTGACAGAGGCGGAGAGTTCTCTTCTCGCCTTCTGCGGGACTACTGTCGTGCACGGGGGATCCGCCAGACCTTCACCCTTCCGGACTCACCACAGCAAAATGGGATTGCTGAGCGCCGCATTGGCATGGTCATGGATGTCGCTCGTACGTCCATGATGCATGCGGCTGCCCCCCATTTTCTGTGGCCGTTTGCGGTGAGGTACGCGGCGCATCAGCTCAACCTTCACCCCCGGGTCTCTCGGCCTGCGATGTCCCCAGTCTTGCTGTGGACGGGGAAGGTTGGCGATGCGTCTGTGTTCCGTGTCTGGGGATCTCGGGCGTTTGTCCGCGACTTGTCTGCGGACAAGCTGTCCCCTCGTGCTGCTCCCTGTGTCTTCCTTGGCTTCCCCACTGACGCCCCAGGGTGGCAGTTTTACCACCCCTCCTCTCGTCGTGTTCTGTCCTCCCAGGACGTCACGTTCGACGAGTCAGTCCCCTTCTACCGTCTCTTCCCCTACCGCACTCCTTCCCTCCCCCCTCCCCCGGACTTCCTTGTGCCGGTTCCCCCCCCGGTAGACCCCCTCCCCCCTCAGGTTCCTGCCCCCTCAGGTGTGTCCCAGGTAGACGCCGTTGACCCGGTCGAGGTTACTGGTGACTCTGGTGCTGCTGCGGGTGCTGAGCCTGGGGGTGCTGACTCTGGGGGTGCTGTGCGCGGGGGTGCTGAGCCTGGGGGTGCTACGGCTGGGGGTGCTGGGCCTGAGGGTGCTACTCCTGAGGGTGCGGAGCCTGGGGGTGCTGAGCCGGGGGGTGCTGTGCCTGGAGGTGCTGGGTCTGGGGGTGCTGGGTCGGGAGCTGCTGAGCCTGGGGGTGCTGAGCTGGGAGCTGCTGAGCCTGGGGGTGCTGCGTCTGGAGCTGCTGAGCCTGGGGTTTCTCCTGCTGCTGCGTCTCGCCGGGAGCCCCTCTCTCCACAGGAGCTGCGCGAGTGGTTCGCTCGCCGCTGGAGGCGTGCTGCTGAGTCTGGAGGTGCTGCTGGTGCTGGAGCTGGAGCTTCTTCGACCGTCGAGGGTGCGGGTGCTGCCGGTCCCGGAGCTGCTGGACCTGCGGGTCCTCCTGGAGCTGGAGCTGCTGAGGGCGTTCGTGCTGAGCCTGCTGCTGTTGGTCCTGCCGCTGGAGGTGTGGGTGGCGCTGGTGCTGTAGCTGAGGGTGCTGGTGCTGTCCCTGCTGAGTCTGGAGCTGCCGCGCGGCCTCGGCCGTACTTCGTTCCGCTCCTGCAGCAGGTTCTTGGTCTTTCTCCTCCAGTAGAGGGTCCACCGCCTGTCCAGTCGCAGTCCCTACTGGAGCCTTCCTCTCCACTGCCTGCTCCCTCTCCTTACACTGGTCCTACTGGAGGTCTTGCTGAGCGTCGTGAGCCTGCGTCTCGTCCCGCGTCGCCTGTTCGTGCTGCTCGCGCTAGTGGTCGCAGTTCGCGTCAGCGTCCTCCTCCTGTCCCTGGCACGCATCGGATGTCTTTGCGTCCGTCCACTGCTCCTCTGCGTGCCCCTTTGCCTTCTCCTCCTGAGTCCTCTCTTCCTGCGCTTGCCGACCCTGAGTCGGACTCTCTTCGCGCTGCCAGTCCTACTGTCACGCGTTTGCTTGCTACTGTCGTCACTGACCCCTCTTTTGAGTCCACTGCTGCGTCTGCTCTAGTCGCTGAGCTCGTTGACTTTGCTGCCCGCTGTCGTCTCGACTACGCTGCTAGTCTTGTTGCTGAGTCTGTCTGTCCTCCGTCCGTCGGGGGTGAGTGTGCTCTTGGCACGGACGTCCTAGAGGACAGGCAGGAGGAGTTACTGTGTCTAGCGGCTGCTTCACCTCATCTCGCGTCTGTACTGCTTGCCCCTGAGGGAGACCCGGATGCACTAGACATCCCGACTCCGCGTTCTTACGCGGAGGCCGTAGAGGGTCCCTACTCCTCTCAGTGGCAGGCAGCTATGGATGCAGAGATGGCTTCCTGGAAGTCCACAGGCACCTACGTTGACGCGGTTCCCCCTCCTGGGGCGAACATCGTCAGTGGCATGTGGATCTTCAGGGTGAAGCGGCCGCCGGGCTCTCCACCTGTCTTCAAGGCACGGTACGTTGCTCGTGGCTTCAGTCAGCGGCAGGGAGTCGACTACTTTCAGACCTTTTCCCCCACCCCGAAGATGACCACTCTTCGGGTGCTGCTGCACATAGCCGCTCACCGCGACTACGAGCTTCACTCTCTCGACTTCAGCACTGCGTTCCTGCAGGGTAGCCTGCACGAGGAGATCTGGCTTCGCCGTCCACCTGGCTTCACTGGGACTTTCCCTCCTGGCACCCAGTGGAGCCTCCGACGGCCAGTCTACGGTCTCCGCCAGGCACCGCGTAAGTGGCACGACACACTGAGGACTACGCTTGCGGCTCTTGGGTTTGCTCCTTCTACTGCTGACCCGTCGCTGTTTCTTCGCACCGACACTTCCCTGCCGCCGTTCTACATCCTCGTGTACGTCGACGAC